CTCTTTCGAGATGCCTTTTGTATGGCACAGTAACTGAATTCACTGCAGTGAGTGATGAAGGCTGCAGCATTTACTTGATCTCATTTGCTTAAGAAACATAGCAAGTCTCTACCTGGCAAGTCCGGGGCTCTTCAGTGAGCCAAATGCCATCTCCTTCTGGAATTCAGCACAGGGGCAGGGGCCTGGGAGGTGGGACCAATGCATAGGTCTCCTGGTGGTGCACACTGCATTCCTCTTAGCCCAAATACCAGGTGACATTCTTTTACAAAGAACACAGAGCACAGATTAGTAACAGTACAGGTGTAAATTTCAGAAGGATTTTGGCTGGTTTTTCTTCCTCATTTTCCCTTCTAAATTGTCTCCAAATTCCAGGTTTTAGAGAGGCATCTTTATCAGAGGCCAGCTGCAAAGTGTTAATGCTTGTCTAGGAAAAAAAATACTTGCCTCCCACTCCAGTAAGGAAATAGTCTGTGATTTGTGGTGCCTGGCATGTGTAGCTGGAGAAGGAAGGGGTATGTACAGCACTTGCTGTGTGGACTCTCCGTACTGAAGTCATGCATTGGGTGCTTGTCTCCATACACAGAGATAGCTCTCCTCTGCAACCACAGAGCAGAAAAGCCTGTGACATTTCCCATGGGTCTTGTCAAGGATGAAGGTTAAAGTGGTAGCTCTTCTTGCAGAGAGCCTGAAAATCAAATCTCATCCTGCTCTGCTCCTCAGCTGGAGTACATGGGCATGTGTCCATGGAAGTGAGCAGGTTTCCAGCAGGGTGAGGACCAAAGCTGTGGTCTCCATCCTATGCTCCAAGGTTGGTGGGAGGAGGAGAAACTGCTGGTACAGAAATCAAACAGCATTTTCCTGGCACGGTGAGGTTCAGTGGGATGATTACTAGGTTTTATGGAGAGTCAAGAACAGATGGCCACCACTTGTGAAGGGTTTGGCACTGGTTTTTGCTGCTGCAATGTTTTCCCCTCTGTGAAGCTGAGCATGGGAAGTTCTGCCTGACACAGGAGGATGTGAGTTGACCTGTCTGTTTCACTCCGCTAAATAGACCCCTATAAAGTTCCCAGTGTGTTCAAATGTGAGTACAGAGAGAATCTTGGGGATTAGCTCACTCAGGCTTTAGGAAATCTTAACCTTGTTTTTGGTGCTCCCAAAAGTAGCAATGGCCTCAGCAGCTGCTGTTGGTGGAAAGTGTCTGCCCCAAGAGTGCCACCCCCTTGGTGCTTTACAGAAAAGGCCAACAACCTCCAACAGCAGCTTGTAGATATAACTAGCAGTATAATCATGGGGTACTTTGGTAGGTGGATCTCCCCATGATCAGTTGGTGTCATAGGCTCATCTGCTTTACTCTGTTTGAACCTTACAAGACATCTAGCAGCCCTGCTTGTGGGGTGCACACAGCTGGCTGGAGATGGTCTGCTGATCCATGGACCTGTGTCCTCATGACTTACCTTAGTGCAGATCACCAGAAGACCCATGACAAAGGGAGCAATTTGTCACAAGAGGTGTGTTTAGGAATTTTGTGCAATTAAGCCAGGAGCTGGCCACAGCCTGGCAGGCCAGAGCTGTCATTGTGGCTTCCAAGCCCCAGATGTGAACAGAGTAATGTAGTTTCCAGCTTCTATTTTTAAAGCCCAGAAATATGCAGCAAAGTTCCTGCTCACATCTCCTCAGCACAGCACTGACCACTGCTGGGCACTGCACGATGCCTTGGCGGTTTCTGTATGTGCCTGAGGAATGTGGCTGGAGCATCAGCAGGTGACTAGAGAAGCTGCAGCATCAGCTCACTGCAGATTTTGGACCTAATTCCCTTATGTAATTTGCTGGACTTGCAATATCTGGATACCTTAGCCTCGTTTCTTCAAGGTATTTCATGAGAAACACTGTAAAAGGGAACTTTCCCTCTGCACAAGATAATGCCTTCAAAGTTCTTCATTTTTCAGCCATTCATGCCTTGCTCCCACTTGTTCCCGAGCATTACTGCTGTGCACTATCTTGGAGGTCATGGGATTTGGACATTTGCTTGAGGCCACCCAGGAGCCCTGTGGTGGGGGAAGAGGGACTGAACACAAGTTTTCTGAGCCCTCAACGTACCCTCCAGCTACTGAATCACTCTGCATTCAGCTGCTTGGAAAATCTGACTTCCCAGAGGCAGACACAGATCGCCTGGAGCAGTTCTGCTGTGATATGCCCTTTCACATGTTTGGCCTGGGCTGCTTCAAGAGCAACTCTTCCTTCAGCAGCAGCTACATTACTGTTCATGTCTGGCTTTGATAAGCCACTGAGCACTCAGCTAGGCGGCCACCTTTGCAGTTTGCCCTGAGAGCAGGGTGGGGTTAGATCCAGTATTTGGGAAAGGCAGCAGGGGAGCAGCCAGTCACTGACCTGTCTGTTCATAGCAGCAGGGATCAGAGCCAGCAAGGACTAAAGTGCTGTGGATTTCCAGATACTGTGTAATGTCTGCCCATGATGCTTCTCAAGACCCTTTAAAATCTCAGCAGTGAGTCTGGCCTTCACAGTTTTCCCTCCAGAAGGAAAAAATATGTCCTAAAACCAGAGGTCAGCTCTTTTACTGAGTCTCCTAGTGTCACATTCCTGGCTATGGCCTGAAATGACATGGTAGCCCTGCCTGTAATTGTCACTCTGCTTCCTACTGAAATAGCACCTCGCTGCTCCAGCACAGCCCAGGGTAGTGAGTGCTCTCCTGGGAGATATGTCATTGATATAATTGTGATTCTGGCTTGCAGTGCTGGATCAGAGAAACTCCTTGACCAATGGAGACTCAGGACTGCATTCGTCCCCTCCTCAGAAGAGTCTACCAGACCTCCCTCCTCCAAAGGTAAGTGTTGTACATTCCTTGCTTTCTACTACCTCAGCCTGAGGTTCTGAACTCCTTCACTGCAGGTCAGCATGTGGCTGGTGCAGGCTCTGCAGCTGGGATGGCTGGGCATCCAGAAACCCCTGTGGTTCCCAAAGCTTGGGCACAGATGGAGCAGGCAGCTGTGGGAGCCTCAGGTTTCCCATGAGTTTGCAGGAGCACTGTGCAAACAGGGCTGTGTCCCCTGCTAGGGAGACCCACACCCATTGCATGGCAATCCAGGCTCAAGGAAAAAGTGAGGTTTTCAAAGAAGCAAAGGTGATGATGGCTCTCAGGTGCTGGTTTGGAAGTCTCCCCTGAGTTGTAAAGCAGCTGTGCCTGGGCTGCTGATGTGGACTTATAAAAGCCAGAAGTCCTTCAGCTGCAGGGTGGTGGAGTGGTCATTGGGCAGTGCCAGGATCTCCCTTGCTGGCAGAGCCTTACTCAGTTTGGCCATTACCAGAGGTTTGCTTACAGTAGCTGGAGCACCTAGTGTTGTCTGTGTATTGGATGGCTGTGCCAGTGTTGTACAGCCCACAGGTCTGAGAGGAGAAGTTGCTGGCACTAGATTTTTCTGTAGGGCAACTATAAATCAGTTAAACACCATCAGCTTTCAGTGGGATGTTGTCTCTGTGCCAGCAAGCCAGCTCAGCTCTCATAGAGACATGGGTCATCCTTGAGACCCTGGATGTTGCTTTTCAGTACTTGTTGCAGCATGAGAATTACTGTAACTGGGATTTCAGGATGTGAAAGGAAAGGAGGGCAGGGGAGTATGCATGGGGAAGAGGGGGAGGCATGGACGAGGATGTGGGTGGTACATCCATCAACCACGGAGGAGGATCTGCTCTTTTCCCAGGAAGGAGGATGCAGGGTGAAGCCCCAGGACTTTTGCCTGGGGGGCTGTGTGGCTCAGCTGGAGTTAGCTGGAGGAGCTGGGAAAACAAGGGGGCAGGACAAATCCTTGGCCGCAGTGCAGTTGCCTGCTGGGAGCTGTTCCAGCCCTGGGGAGCTCTGCCCACGCAGCTGGCTGGGGACACAGTGCTGGAGCTGGAGTTGCCTGGGAGCAGTGACCAGAGCAGGAATTGCTGTTTGTCTTTGTGTTTCTCAGAGATGGCAGTTCAGTGGAACGAAGACACTACTGGGAAAGCAGCAGTTGGTTGTCCCCAGGGCATCTCTGCCTGTGCTTGGTGCAGCCGAGCTTTCTGATCAGGGAGTTAAATGAGGGAATTAGGGAAAAAAACAATCTTGGATTTTAGCTGAGAAGGGTACCTAAGCCATCTGTCTTCTCATAGACCTGTGCTGGGAACTACTTTCTTGCACCTGCTTACCACTCCCTTGGATACAGCAGTCAACTACCGCTTCACTGTGAGCACCTGAGTGTCAGTGAGCTGTTGGTAGCAAAGATATCTGAGATATAAGAAATATGTGGAAATTGCTGATGTGGGGAAATGGATCTTCCCTGTCTGTGTTTCTGGCTCCCAGTGTGCGCAGGAGCCACAGCCACCTGTGCGATGGAGGAGGGAGCATAACTCCTGGCACTGAAACTGGGAGGTTAAGAGAGGAACTCAGGTCTATTTTAGCTCTGCAGAGTTTTCTGTGGTTTGGTGATGCTAAAGCACCCTGTGGTGTGTTGCTCTACACTTGCCTTTTGAGTCACAAGGAGAAATTTGGAGGGAAAGCTCTGCACAGAAGATTGTTCCTGGCATCCACTGACACCAGCAGTCAATGGGCGACCCAACAAGGGTGGCCCAGATGAATCCCGCTAATTTATTTGGATTTATTCCAAAGCAGTCTTTAAACAATGAGTTCTGCTTGCCATGTCTTAGGCATTGGTGACCTCTCATCTGCCACAGCCCTGGCAGCTCTGCCCCTTTCCGCAGATGAGAGTCATGTGGTGTGGTGTTTGCATGCTCATTGTGCCATAATGCAACAGGCAAATGTTCTGCAAGGGTCAGTGTGGTTAAATAACACAATATATACCCTTTGACTTAAACTAGAACAATGAGTTCTGCTTGCCATGTCTTAGGCATTGGTGACCTCTCATCTGCCACAGCCCTGGCAGCTCTGCCCCTTTCCGCAGATGAGAGTCATGTGGTGTGGTGTTTGCATGCTCATTGTGCCATAATGCAACAGGCAAATGTTCTGCAAGGGTCAGTGTGGTTAAATAACACAATATATACCCTTTGACTTAAACTAGAAACAAAACTACGCCATTTGGAAAGAGAAGAGAAAAAAATAGCATCTGGGGCAGCTAAGGTGCAGTCCCTCCTAGTCCCTGTTGGCTTCCATTGTCTGTAGGAAACAAAAGAGAGGCAGCCCCTTCCCTGACACTTGTGGGATGGTGTCAAATGAACCCACAGAGTTTCTTTGTGTAGGCAATTTGTTTATGGTCATGGCACAGTGTGAGCTGACTATGCACAGGAGGCCACCAGAGATGGCAATTACAGACACATTCTCCGGCCAGGGAAGGAATTAAGTAAAGCTTTGGAGTGACTGGGTTTGGTTTTGTTTCTTTAATTTAACATATTGGAACAAGTTCCTAAACCTTCAAGTGTTTGGAAGGCAAGTGTTTTCCAGCAGTGTCCTACATGGCTCTGGAGCACAAGTTGAGAGTCTGCTCACAGCATATGGTAGACCCACATAAGAAGGAGATTTTATCCAAGACACTTGAGAAGTTTGGGAGGTTGGCAGAGCCATGGGCAGCTCACGCACATGGGAGCAGGACACATGACTTTGGTGTGGTCAGGGTTCCTTGCTTCCACAGGCTCAGCAGCTTCCCTTTGTGGGCAGTTGCTGGCCAGTAAACCTTTTCTTTCAAAGCTTCCTTTCCCCTTTTGGGCACCAATAGCTGTTGGTGGAAGTATCCGGGGCAGGATGGGCGGCTGTGAACTTGCTGATGGTGTTGGCATGACCTGCAAAGGGGCTGATCTTGCCTTAGACTGCCCTGCAGTGCTGATGCCCAGCTGGCTCCTCTTCTCCAGACCACCAGGGGCAATCACGTGGGCTGGCACGAAGGACCATGCATGATCCATGACCTTCAACATTGCTGTCTCTGGAGGGAGAGACCTGCTCTTCTGCCTGTCCTCCTGGAAGGAATGAGGCTTTAGCCCTGCGTGCAGTGAGCATTCTCTGCAGGGCTTGCACAGCCCTGGTCAGAGGCCAGCTGAGGTGCTGTGAGCCAGAGCATACTGCTGTCAGATGAGTGGGAGTGGTTTGACCCGGGTGAGGAGAGGGGTTACCTCACTGCAGAACAAGGGGAAGCTGCTGTTAGGTCACGTTGGGAGATGGGATGCCATGTATTTGGGAAGACTGTAAGCTGTATGCTCATCCTACTGTGATCTCCAGCTCTGTTGTCTCACGTTCCATAGCAAAGTGACTTACTTGAAAAGTAAAAGGTTTGTTTCTTAGCTTCAGGGTTTTTTTCCTCATTGTTGGTATTTCTAAAGGATCAAGACACTGTTTTTCCTGCCAGCCCTTGCTTGTGTTTAGGGAGGGGTTTGGCAGGCACCACAGGGATTTTCCAGCACTTGGACTCTTTTCAAAGGTTGAATTTCCATCGATGTTGTTTGTCCATTTCCTTCATTTTTTTTGTCAGAGCACAATTAAAGATTTCTGATATAGTTTCTAACACAGAGGTTTTTAGCTGTTGGTTTGCCATCAGTCAGAGACTTGGAGACACGACCAGCAACTGCTCAGGCTAAGCTTCCAGTGTAAAGCCAGGATTGCACCAACTGTCCTTTCTGGTTCCCTGATAAGATAATCCATAGCACAGAGGATCATCCCCCATTGTGATGAGCAGCTTAGGGGGGTCAGTGAAGCAGGCAGAAGTCCCAGTTCATGGTCAGGCCAATGGGTTGCAATTGCTACTTTTGAGGAATGGGTTGCAACTGCTGTTATGAGTTGATCTTCTCAAGGCTTTCAGCAATATGAAAGAAAGTAACATTCATGACACAATTATACAGTAATTTCAAAGGATTTCTTTATATTTGAGCTAACTGTCCCATATCCTGGTGTACACATCTAAAAGATCTCATCCACTGAGATGCACTGGAGTGCTAAAAAAACAAAGAACAAAGCATGCCCCATTATTTTCAAAGATCTGTTTTTACCTTAAATCATGCTTCTTTTATGTATTTATTCTGCAGATTCCTGAAACAAAGCAACCTCCAGTCCCCAAGATTGAATCCCCAGAGGGATATTATGAAGAGGCTGAGCCATATGACATCTCTGTAAATGGTATATCACAGCTAACTCTTGGTGGGGGTTCATGTGGGAGATGGAGGACTTGAAGTTTATGAGAATGAGTAAATGAAAGCACAGACATTTCTTACAGCTGGTGTGACAAATTTGTTTTCTGCTGCTGATCACACTTGATATTACAGATCTAATGCTGTTTGGAAAGAAAAGACTAATTAATTACCCAATTTTTAACCTTCCTGTAGAAGTAAGTAATATGCTTGGGTTAATATAACATCACTGTAAAATATGACAAACCACTGTGGGTTCTCTTTGTCTTGATGGTTCTGGCAGATATGCTGTAGTCAAACACAGGTTTCTATTCGGGAGTGAGTGGTGAAACTGTGGTGGCTTGAATTCCTGTCCTAGTGCTCTAATTGTCCCCTTGGGGCTCAAAATCCATGGCTCTGTTGGTCTTTTAGGCGTGATAACCATTTTTATAATTGGCTATTTATTTAGCTCTGTCTCTTGTGGCCATTTAACCATCTGTAAACTTGATTAGGAAGCCACACTTCGTGTGAGGGGACAGCGTGTGGGTTCCCTCTGCATGCACTCATTTGCTGCCTGGGTCAGCACTTCCCAGCCCTGTCCTCAGCAGTGCCACCCATACCTATCACCCATGGGGTCCCCACCCCTCCAGGAGGAGATTGCTGCATGCAGGCCGAGCAACCAGATTCTCACTTTTTAAGATGTATTCCTGCATCCTTCTTTTAGTGAACACCCTTCATGAGAGATTGCCTTCCTCTGATCTGATAGCAGAGCTGATCTTGTCATCACTTTCTAATCCATTTAAGCCCAAATGAAACAGATTATATCACTGCTGCAGATGCAGATCTCTGCTCATCAGCCTTGGCTGCCACAGAGTATGTGGCATGGGGCAGAGTTGGGCAGGGAGAGACGAGGCAAGCAAAGAGGTGAGAGTTAAGGGTAAAAGATTTGGATCTAAACCTTGGCTGTTGAATCTGAGCTGCTTCTGAGAGAAGTTGAGTCTCCTCCAGCTCCAGTGTGCACCACTGGACTTTGAAGCTCCTGGCAGGGAAGCACCAGTGGTGCCACTGTTCAAAGTGGCCAAGGGTTGATGTGTGTGAACATCCCTCACTGCCTGTGTGCACCTGGCACTTCAGGACAGCTCGTGGCTCAGTGTGGGCCATTGCTCTCATGAAGGCTGAGGAGTTACAGGGCTAAACAACAAAAAAAGGGAGATGTAGAAAAATCTTTGTTTGACTGAACTATCCTGTTCTGGCTGCAACTACATTACAGCAGTGAACAGGAAGATCAACCCAGCTCAGCTGGGAAAAGGTGCAGACTCATTGTGACTGGGGTGTAGCATACAGAGGAGAGGTTTCCCCAGCTCTGCCATGTGTTTTGCTGAAACGCTCTGGGTTGTTTGATGAGGTAAAGGCTGTGATGCACAGGGCCTGTTGAAGCCCTCCCACAGGAGGGGCAGCACAGGGTGCTGCAGCCTCATCCCCATGGCAGAGCAGTTCCAGTTGCCTGCACTGTAAGATAAATGAAGTTTTTTTTCCCCTGCTGCACATTTGGAAAGTAGATAATATGTTAAGAGCCATGGCATGAAAGGACATATGCTGGATCAGCTGGAGTAACAGTCATGGATCCATGTGCTGGGATACCCACCTTATGTTATCCAGGCAGCTCCATAAACTCACCCTGAGTTCAGGGACTTGTCTGACAGGAGTGATAAACACACACCCAACTTCCACCTCTGCTTTCCCTTGGTAACCTGCTGCTCGAGTTGCAAATACATCCACCATCCACTGAAATCTAGGCCGGTCAGATGCTTAAGGAAATGAGAGATCAGAGCCCTGCAAAAAGAGAGAAAAGCCCATATGATGGGACCACTATCAAAATGAGGCAGCTCTGAGTGTGGCTGCTGTGAACAGCTGTTGTACCAGCAGGGTCAGTGTTTTACCAAGCAGTATCACAGCTGTAAGCAGAGAGATGAGTCTGTGAACCCAGCAGAGATGGGATGTAGGATTCCAGGCAGTCCCTCACCACCAAGGTGTGTGATGCCTTTGCCTCCTGTGACTATTTTGCCCCTGGTCCCCTCTGCAGGCCCCAGCAGGTCCCTTCTACACAAACCTCCCAGTGTGCTATAATGACAAGAGCTTTTAAGGTGCTTTGTGTGAAAAGGAAAGCAGCATCATATCACTGAGAATTTCTGTGCTTTTTGGCAGCCTCATGTTTGAGGTGGGGCTTTGGAGTGAGCCAGAAGGAGGAGCAGGGAGTGAGGTGGAGCAGCCAGGTATGTGGCAGGAGAAGGCTGCTGGGGCTCAGGAGAAGGTGAAGCATGGCATGCAGGGGGAGATGCTGGGAAGGTGCTGATGCCCTGGTTTGCCTCGAGAGATCAGTCTGCAAATCCTGTAGCACGTGGGCAAACCTGCAGGTCCCTGTCCTGCCCTTTGTTTCAACAAGCACAAAACTGGGCTCCCCATCCCTTCCCTGCCCCCCTTCTTTTCCACCCCGTGCCTTACCAGATGTTGATAGTGCCTTGTACCTGTCCTACATGGAGTGATGCTCATTGCTAGCAACCGCCTTGGGACCTTGGTGTCACTGCTGTTGCTAAAGGGCAGTCTGGACATGCATGGGTTTGCCCTGGGCAAGGATGCTAAAGCCTGGCCCCAGTAATCCGTGCCAAGCCCTCTGTGCTCACCCCTTTTCCCCAGAAGCTGGACAGGGAAGGGATCAGTGATCCAGGGAGGTGATGGTGGTATTTCTGACAGAATTACAGCATGAGCCTTGGAAGACACCCATGAATCCCCAAACAAATGGGCGTAGTGAAAGCAAACAAAAATAGGAACACTGCTAAAATGAGTGGGTGCACTGCCAAGAAAGGACATCAAAGCAACCTCCAGATGGGCTAAGGAGATAGAGGCTTCGTGCAGCATCAGAGGTGGGACTGCGAGGCACTGTAGCAAACCGTGGGTGAATTAATTAACATGAAGGAGGCGGTGAGTCCGCCGGGTCTCAGGGTCCCTCTTTCATCAGCAGGATCCCCGCCCCTCCGCTGGGAAAGCCTCTGCCTTTCATTTTACAGCCCCAGCAAACGCTGCTGCTTCCCTTCCCTCCTGGGCTGAAATGTGTTAAACCGTTATCGCTCGCCTTTGCATAATTGGAGGGTGTGATAAGAAGCAGAGTGAACACGGGAGGGCTGACTGTGGCTGCCAACTGAGCAATAATTATTCCAGCTGAAACAGCTCATCTGCCCTGGATGATTTTAATTACGATGACGATGATTCTGTTTTAAAGGGGGTTGCCTTGTTTGAGGGGATGGTTTGAAAACGTTGTCCCTGTTTGAAGTCTCACCATATGTATGGCATGCAGGGATGGGACAGCCCCACTGGCTGATGGAAGCACAGGGCTGAGCCAGACTGACGCCCTTGTTCTCTGCATTTGCTTATCTGTGGCTTTCTCACTTTGTTTCCCTTTCTCTTTCCTTTTGACTGTGCAGGTCTTTTTGGTAGGCTTGCTGCGGCTGGACCCAGGCCAGGGTTGCAGGTTACTGAGGGCGTAATTTATGCCACAATAACAATGGGTATGGCATGCTTTCCAAACCTGAAGTGCCTTTTTTTAAAGAACAAAAAAAAAAAATCCACAGAAAACCTCCTAACATCTCAGTTCTAGCAAAGATGATCAGGTATCTCCCCCTGGCATTGCCTGTTATGTGCATGGAGGGTAACCACCTCTCTTCTCTCCCTGCTTGTTATACACAAGGCAGCACTTTTTGTGGCTTTCCCTGTGCTCAGGATGACAGTGAAGAGAACTTCCCTAGCCTTTATTCTGCTGTTTCTGTATGTGTAGGAATGCTGGCTGTATTGATGAGTAGCCATTTGGTGAATGGTTGAAGGTGCTCTGCTGGGGCAGAGGCAGCTCAGGTGTACACAATGGTTGGAGCTTCCAGCATCATGGCATTGATTTAGCTCCCTGGGAGGTCATGGGAAGACACAGGAGAGCAGAAGTGGATTTAGATAAAGACATCTGAGATCATTGCTGCCAGTGGTGCCTGAGCTGTATGACTTGGGACTGAATGAGCCTTAATAGTGACCACATTGTTGTCTCAAGTCACCCAAGCAAGGTTTGTGCTAGTTTGCCAACTACACAGCCTGGTAAAGGCCTTTCCATCGTGAGGCCATAGCAGTGTCATCAGGTCAGCAATGGTTACAGCTCTTAGAGAAGAGCTCATCTCATGAGGACCCACATTTGTGATGTTGTTGATGCACAAATAAGCAGCCAAGGCTCCCACTGAGAGCATGGAAGGAAAGTGCTATTCCCCCAGGAAGAAGGTGGCAGCCTGAGACCTAATGCCTAGGTGAGGGGCACCAGAGACTGCCAAAAGGGGCCAGAGGGGCAGTTAGTGATAGCCCCATGTTGATAAGAAGGGAGATTTAGATGAGGTTCCCTTAGGCACCTTTGTTGCTGCTGCTGTTTAAGGAGGGATCCCTAGCAGTGCAGGTGTTTGTGGGGATGAGAAACCTCAACACTTTTACTCCACCTGAATTTCTGTGCAGGGTGCCTGTGGACAAGGTCTGCATAATGGGAGTGCATTGAGGGAGGTAAAGTTTTCCCATAAAAGATGGATAGTCTGGTACGTTAAGGGTATGGAGGTGATGAGCCTGTAGTGGAGACTTTGTAAGGGAGTATTTGCTTTTCAACAAGTTTGTTTCATTGGTGCAGCTTTGATCACTTGAGGGATGTTATAGAATGAGATTACACTGGGGATAAGGGTGTAGCTTTGTTACTTTATCTCAGCTACTTTTATTTTAACAACAAATAAACCAAACTGAAATGTTCTTCAGTGAAGCTCCTAATGATTTTTTTTCCTTCTTTCTGACTGCTTTTCTCTTTTTAATTTGCACCAGTCTGATAATGTTACTATTATGTAGATGCTAAGATTAGATTAAATTCTAGTGAGAGAAACTTAACAAATGTTAAATGCTGTTTGGTAGGACAAGAATGCAAAACCCTACACAGATGCTGCCCAGGTCTTACCATCTTGCTCTGTGAGCTTATCTCATGAATAAGAGCTGTACTGTGAATGCCAGCAGAGCATTGCAAATCCCCCGGCAGTCACTGGGATCATTTTCATTGTTTCTGATGAGTCTGGTACCAATGATCAGCTGAAATCTCCAATAACCTGCAGTACATTAGAGCTGGGTCTTGAAAATCCCAACTCCTAATAACATAGCAATCTATTTAAGAATGGCCATGAAAAATGTGATTACTGTTACTCACAGCTGCCATTTATGACTAATATTTGCTGCTGCAATAGTGTTTTACTTCAAAGCCCCTTGCTGTCCCTTATATGCTGTATAGAGAGGGGGACCTGTTAGCCCAGAGAGGGAAAGTGGAATGACATCTCAAGATCATTGCTTGCTGCATGGCCTTGCAAATACCATTTTTACTTCTGACATTCAGAGGACAAGGGCTGATTGTAGCTTGCTATTGCCATAAAAATTGTGTTTGGCTTGAAGAGGAAAGTAGAAAAAGCATCTCTGGGGAGCGTGGGGGAAGCAGCAAACATCAGAAAATGTCTAAGGGAATGTTCTCAAATTTGTGGTCAACTGAGAAGTGTCTTTTGAGTGTTTGCTAACAGAGTCTGTTAGGCACAAAATATTGCAATGTTGGGCTAGATAGAAAAAAGGACCTATGAGGGTTATTTTCCTATTGATTATCCTCCCGTAGGAGAGCCTCAAAAGACACGTCCCTGCACTGGAAGCTTTTGCATGTGTGAGCATGGCTGAGGCAAGCATTAGGCTCAGAGTTATTTCTATAAATGTATGTAGTGATAGAGTTTTTCTTTTGTTATAGAAGATGGTGAAGCTGTTAGTAGTTCCTATGAATCTTATGATGAAGAAGAGAGCAGCAAAGGCAAGTCAGCAACCCATCAGTGGCCATCCACAGAGGCCACCATCGAGCTGATGAAGGACGCTCGCATCTGTGCCTTCCTGTGGAGAAAGAAGTGGCTGGGACAGTGGGCAAAACAGCTGTGTGTTATCAAGGACACCAGGCTGCTGGTGAGTAGATCCTCCACTCTCTGCCTAAAACAACCAGTTTTCATGAGCTGGGGAGGGAAATGGCACCTCAGGCCATGTTAACTGGCTGACATTTCCCAGGGATTTGGGGATCTCATTCCATTTTCATAAGGAACGTGGGCATGGGACTGCTGAGAGGGGCACAAAGGCACATTTATGACCAAAATCCCAACTCCCCAAAATGTTTAGGGATGCTTTTGGGGGAAACCTTTTGAGATGGTTAAGCAGTTAATCCCACATGCTAACCACATGCCTGACCCTCTAGCAGTGAGAGGTATTTCAGATTATATGTATATACATGCACATAGATGTATGTGTATCTATACATGCAGAGATGTCTTGTGTGTAGTCTGTGTAGACTTTGTAGGACACAGCTTTGTAGGACCTATAGGACCTCTCTTCAGTGTACTTAATGCATGTGGTGGCACTGAGTCACATACAGGGTTGAGTTCACACCGACAAGCAAGGGAAGGCTCCTCCTTTGCCTCTTACCCCCTCCCATCTTCCTTCCCCAGTGCTACAAGAGCTCCAAAGACCACAACCCTCAGCTCGACGTGAATTTGCTGGGCTGCACTGTCATTCACAAGGAAAAGCAAGTGAGGAAGAAAGAGCACAAGCTGAAAATCATCCCTATGAATGCTGATGTCATCGTGCTGGGGCTGCAGAGTAAAGACCAAGCAGAGCAGTGGCTTAGGGTCAGTGGTGCCTTCAGGACTTGACCTGCTGGTGCTCCCATGCTTTGCTGGGAGACTGTATCTTATCTCAACCCTGTCCTTGTGTGTTCTGGCTCCCTTCCTCGCTGCAAGCCTTTATACAAATACACCACTTAATTTTCATTTCCTGGGATAGCTTCTTCCTGCAGTTCCCTGCCACCTTCAGCATGCTGGAGTGCATGCAGCTGCCTCCCAGCCCAGCTGCTGTGGCAGGGGGGATGTCTGGGGTGGGTGCCCAGCGTAAATTGGCTGAGGGCAGGGGTAAATGTGGCCCTTCCCCTGAGACAGGAGCAGCAGCAGAGGCCTTTGTGGAGCCCACAACAGCATCAGGGCTGTGAGATGCTGGGGCTGCCTTTGCTGCCAGCCTCTCCTGGCTGACTCAGATCCAGCAGTTCCTGCTGGCTGCCCGCTGCAACACCAGGATGGTCCCCAGGGTCACAGGGACTGTAAACTGTGGGTCTCCCAGGCTGCTGTGGTTTTGTCTGTCCTGGGTTGGGGAGAAGTATTGATTCTGTTACTGTAGCACTCTCACAGACTGTGGCTTCCCCTTCTGCACAGGTAATCCAGGAGACCAGTGGTCTGCTGTGTGAAGGAGGCAATGAAGGCAACCAGTACATCCCAGATTCACAGCGCCTCAGTTACCCAAAGGTACATCTTGTCTCTACAGGGGGAACAAGCACTCTAGTCTTTTCCACCCTTTAATAAATAATAATGTAGGTGCCCTAATTTTATCTGAGCAAAAACTGATATGGGTGTAACCAGAGCCCTGTGCTGCTCAAAAGGAGCATTATTGGAACAATCTTAATTTTCCTGTGCAATCTAATTTTGTAGCCATATCTTTGCCCTCAGACTGATTCAGCATTTGGCCCCTCACCATACAGGGAAGCAGCCACTATCTCATCCAATGGGACAGTTGTGTTCACCAAGAGCTTTGGGAGGGACATAGAATGTTTGACGCCAGGGCTTGGGCCATCTCTAATCCAGGTTTAGGTGACACTCACCTGGGAGCAGCTTGTCCCAAAACAGTGGGAGGTGAAAGAAATTTTCATGAGTCTCTGATGCACACCCAGAACAGACCTGTTTGAGCACCTGACCAGTGTCTCTGCCCATGCCTTACAGGGACTGTCAAATGCCCCCACCATCCAGGCTGGTGGTAGGAGGCCATAGAGTGCCACCAGTGGTGCCCCAGTGTCACCTCAGAGGTGAGCCCAGCTGGAGTGGTGCATGTGCTGGATCTGCCCATGCTGGGCTCAGAAACAATAAGGGCACAGAGTGAGTGAACTGATGTCTGGGTGAAAGTGACCACTACAGAGAGGGTGGGACCTTATAATACAGGAGAGGGGGAAAAAGGTCTTTGCAGTATGTCCTGGGTGGAGGAATGGGTGACATGCATCTGTGGAGCTTGTGTCTGGTGCTTGTTGACAGGTGGAGGTATCCGAGAGATACTCTGCAGCTTCTGAGAGTGGGAGCAGCACAGATGGCCACACAGAGACAGCTGAGACAAAAGATGGTAAAACCTCACCTTGGGAATGACAGGGAAAATGGGCCCTTGACCCTGCATGAGGCAAGGGTTTCTGTAGCATCTCCTGCCACTGCCACCTCAAACAGACCTGATGCAGGGTGCAAGCTTTGTGTGTGCATTCACTGCCTGTGAATTTGATTTCAGTGATTATTTCTGTAAAGAAGCAACAGGTGGATATTGGGATTTCTCAGCAGTTACAGAATTAGCATGGGGTTTGAGAAACCATAATGTGACATCTGGTCTACCACAGAGCTCCTACTTGACTCTGGGCAAGTCACTTTGGACAGTTTGAGATGGCATAAATACAATCAAAGTGACTTTCCTATAGAGAAATCTGGAGTCCTGTGTGAAATGCTGAGCTGCCTTTAATGGGATGATAGTTACACCTTCTCACTAGGGCATCAAGCTCTGGGCTTTAAGCTGCATTCCCATTCCCCATCTATAACATGGGACAGGTGAGTACAGTAACAGAGGAGATGCTGTATTAGAAGAATGTGGGACTCATCTATATAGTGGATAGAGAGAAATCCATGCTGAGGACTCACTGGAGTCACCCAACAGGTGGAGTTCAGCTACTGTGTCCCTCTATGCTTGGACTTCATAATTTTGTTATGATAGCAGGTAGGAAAATCTGGGCTGAAAACATCCAAATCAATTTATTACCAGTATTACCTGGTGATTACACAACCTTATTCACACACTGACTGATGTGCTCTGTAGGAAAATGATGGAGGCTCTTTGAACATAAACTTTCCCCCTCCCCACCTTGAGTCCCTGTTTTAGAGAGGAAAATACTTGAATGGAGTAAATGTTTATGGGTAATGGTTTTAAAGTCAATTCTTTGTAGTGTAAGAAGTGAAGGCACATGCACAACAAGACCTGTGCAAACAGCCTCCCCCCTGCTCTTGGAGTGACTGGCCTTTGGTCAGAGCTAACCCAAGTTTAAAGCAGTATAATTAGAATTTTCAGCAAATCTCTAACTGAGCTTACTGGTGCTGTCTTGCTCATCAGCTCCCTGGGCTTTGGACAATTACAGCCTGTCCCTGAGTCACAGGTTTGCCCTCTGCAAGGGATGTGTGTGATGTGAATGCAGGACACCCAGCTGGGACAGGGGGCTGTGTGTATGGCTGTAAGCTGGGAAAGCCATGCATGTGTCTCTTTCATTTCTGGTAGTTAAGAAGAAGGGCACAACTGGCCTGAAACTGAGCAACCTGATGAACCTTGGGCGGAAAAAGTCCAGCTCCCTGGAAAGCCCAGAGAGATCCCTGGAGACTTCAAGTAAGTGGCAGCATGAGCCCCACTGAAGGGACTTGCCTCAGGGCTGGATCTCAGTGTGTAGAGCAGGATGAGAACCAGGCATCATCCTCCTCAAATATGCCTGTGCCAGGCGTCCTGCTCTGGGGTGCAAAGAGGCCACAGTCTGCTTGGTCTCTGCCAGTAAATCCATGCAGATTGTGGTGTTTTGTACACATTAAGGTGACTGTGGATGAGCAATAGCTTGCAGGGCTACCCAAGAGGAAGGGCATGTAATGTCAGACATACACACAGTGGGCATCTATGCTGCTTTTCCTGGGCATCAGCCCAAGGTGTGGCAGCCAGTAGGGAGAGAGTTGTCTGGGTCAGCTGGTATTTGCCTTCTGGGACTGACTTTGTCCAACCATCTGCAGCCAACTTGCTGCTCCAAACCTAACCTGAATTTTGAACGTTTCATTTTGAAGAGATTTTTACCCTTTTCACCCTGTTTTGTATGGATAGGACAGCTTGTCTTTGTGCTCTTGCTCTTTAGCTTTGTGTTGTCTGGTGGTCTCTTAACATTAGACATCCCCATGCACATAAATTAATTTGGATTTCCTCGCCCAGTGGGGTAAAAAAATGTCTAAGTGAGCTGTACTTGCTTGCAGGTTACCTGAATGTGCTAGTGAACAGTCAGTGGAAGTCACGTTGGTGTCAGATAAAGGATGGTCACCTCCATTTCTACCAGGACAAGAACAGAAGCAAAATGGCTCAGCAGCCCCTGAGTTTGGCAGGTTGTGAAATTATCCCAGAGCCAAGCCCTGATCATCTCTACTCCTTCCGCATCCTGCACAACGGGGAAGAACGGGTCATTCTGGAGGTAGGGTGCATATCTCCAAGAAAGCTCTGTTTTTAAGTCATCAGCTTGGGCATCTTAGTAGGTCTAAATGCCAATGGTGTCCTCCATAGGAACCCTCAGTCCAGCAAAACAGAACCTGAAGCATGAGACTTCGGTTCGCCTGCCTGTGGTCACCTAGAAGGTGTCCCACATACCAAATAATCCAGGCTGTCTGATGCTGGTGCCTCCAGAGGATCATTCAGCCTTCATCTTAGGCACTCATCTTAGGATGGGATGAAGGGTCCTCTGGAGATGCCTGTCTTTCTCCAGTGGATAACCTTGGATAATTAGGTTCTATGGAATGCAATTCAGATGGTTAATGTTAGATGAGAAGAATGCCACTGTAGGGATTTAAGTCTGTGGTTAGGAGGAATAGGGAACTTCATCTTTTGATGACAGAGCCCCAAAGCCATAGGTCATGCATCCCAAGCAAACCAATCACAGATCTGACCCTGAAAGTGCAAGTGAATTCATCTCCATCTGTTACTTTCCTTTGCCTGCATCCAGGACTGTTTATCTCTAATCTTAGTTCTCTCTGACGACAGCATGATTATAGTAGGAGGTGGACAATGTGAGCAATTTCCTGTATTTTTCCAGTGGGTGGAATATTTATAGCTAAACAACTGACTTTGAGGGCATGCCATGAAGTTTGAAGATGTTTTTGTTTAGCTTCTGATTCAGGGTATGTCTGTATCTAAGAAATTTTTGCCCAATTACAGATGTGAAGAAGAGGTGCTGGGAAAATTTACATTTTGTGAATGGAAGAATTTGTATTTTGTTGGGATGTCAGACTCAATGTACAGACTGGCTGGCTGGCAGGCTTCCCAGGGACTGAAGTCTCTGCTAAATAAAACAGATTGAAAGCTTAAAATATACTTTCCAGTTTGGAAAGTGTATTATAT